GGTGTAATGACACCCTTAAGCAATTACTCCATCCATTGAACTTTACCATTGGATGCATGTCCAAGCCCTTGCACATGCATCCATTAGGAAATGGATGCATGGTCTTGAACTGTTTAAAAAGTAATATACAAGAAACACATACTTGAATTTAAAGTTTTCCTTTCTCCTCACTTTCCAGATTCTAGAGGTAATAAGGACACCCTTCATGTAAAAGTGGTTGAAAAGCGTGATCAAGAACCTGTTCCTTGTCAATGCCCCGGATCCCTGAAAGAGCTGATCAATGAATGTAGAGGCTACGAATGCATCCAAAGGCCATCTGCTGGAGGTGTGTAATTATCGTAGGTTTTTGCTGTCTTAGGTTGTGCTGTTATGTTTCAGAGCTGCTATAGACGAACACTAATCATTAATGAACTTTCAGTCGAATAATCCGAACTTCTTTGTACTTCTGCAGTGTTGGTGGATAAACTGCGATGCTTGTTGGTACAGTTAGAGCAGCAGTGAAGCTCCTCCAAAGTCCTCATCCGGGTCAAAACTGCGCAAGTTTTCTGCAACATACTAATAATACTCACTGCTCAAGACAGATTTAAGGGTTTTTTAATTGATTTTAAGGATATTTTTTTATACAACTCATATTTCCTAATTAGAATCAACCTATTCTATTTTGAATAACTAAGCTCTGTATTCCTAATAACTTCATTAATGTTGAAATACCATCTTAAGAAAGGTATTAACTGGTTTGTACACATTTAAACGAAAACTTGCATGTATCTTGTATTTTCATCAACATGTATGGACAGTGTAATTTCATAATTTCAATAATTTGTAATAAAGACAGAGTTTGGGGAAGAAGACGGCGGTTGTCCTTTCCTTCTCTCACTGACTGTTCGTCATTACAGGCTCTCCAAGATCAAGGGAAAGCAGAAAGTCTTCAGAAGAAGAAAAAAAAAAACGGAAAAACAAAACAAAACATCATTTGTTATATTTGTCACTATAAGTAGAGACGTGTAACATATGGACAGTGTTGATGCAGTCCTTCTTGTTACTTTGAACTTTCCTTTGTGACATATAATAAGTGCCTTAAAGTTTTCTCGAAAGCGTTTGAACACAGATTGAAGAAAACCCCACCAATGAGATTGTTATGAAATTTACAAAAGAGTTTTGAGTAAAAATACATAGAAACATCAAGTGGAACATATGGAGCAGCAAACATATTGAGACGTCAAGTAATTTGTCAGGAGAAGTAAAAAAGCATTTCACCCTCTCTTTCGATGGTTTATAACAAAGCTGGGGTGCCAATTTGAAATCTGCTTTTGGAAAAGTTTAATGAGGTCCGAACATTTCCATGACTGGTTTACTTGTAGAAATTCTCATACAGAAGAAATAAGTCTAAATGTAACTAGACTGCATCCTAAATGAATCCAATCAAAATGTGAGCTCTAGTTAGCTTCTTGTACTTGTTTAATTGTTTTTATACCGTGTCGGCACTTCAAATGTCCTTTAACATGCTATTGAGGTTCTCTTGATCGTTTTTCCTCTTTTGGTCAAATTTTAGTTTGATTTTCTTTGTTGTCTGTGCATTTGTTTGTAGTTTGAGGATTGGATCTCAGGTGGATCAGCTGCTATTCTGTGGCATGCATCCCAGGGTTAATTGGTCAATCTGAATAGCCCTTATATGCGTTTAGCTGCTGTCGCTGTTTCCATCCAAGTCTTGGGTTGGCAGGCTTTCTCAATTCATTTTTTTCTTGGAGTTTCCATGTTCTCCCTATGAAGGTGCTGGTTTTCTCCAGGGACACCAGTGGTCTCCAAAACACACGTTAGGTTGATTACAGAATGGCAAAATTGGATTGGGCCTCCTGTGAGGAAGGAGTCCTAACCATGTAGTCCTTTGGCAGCACTTAAAGCTACCAATTAACAAGGTTTTCAGTGCTACTATAGATACAAAATTGTAGATACTCAAACACTTCATCTGAAGATGTGCTTGGATTTTCTGGCAAATCCCTTTTCTTCATCCGCTGTGGAGGCGAGTACAATCATTAATTGGACTCTGCATGCAAGGTGTCTTTACATAGCAGTGTGTCAGAAATGGAGAAGAGCTCTGGCAGATTCGGATCTGAAGATGAGGAGGCACAGCTCAGGCTGCAACATAAATACATTACGCATTAAGAGCTCAAGCCAGACACTTTGCCACCCATCTCCTCTTTATCAGTCAATCATTTTGTGCGAGAGGTGACAGTTTGGTGTATCAACAACTTCTGTGCGCAGACATGAGTAACAGCCTTCAACTGACCCGTGAAGCCAGACTGAAAAGGAAGTTCCTCAGTTTCAAAGCTGCGAGGAAAAGTTTGTTTTGTGCTAAATATTTCATGCGTGCTCAGTTCATAGGGCAGTCAGTTCATGCTTACCAGCGTGATGTGAGGGGATTTGGAATTAGGAAGCACAATATAAATACATGAGAGTAAAGGTCTTTCGAAACAAAAAGCTACAGATTGAATGCAGCACCCAAGTAGTTTGGTAAACACACTGTTTAGTCAGAGATATTCTGTAAAGTCTTTGAAGGCAGTTTATACTGAGTTCAGTCATTCACTGCAGTGACGTCCCAATCCAGAACAGCATTGATGCATTAATGATAGATGAAACCACTGTTTTATAGTTTAGCAAAATACCGGTCTGATATGTTTTCAAGTATTTTCTATTGCTTTGCAAGTTAAATATGTGTTATATTTATATTTATTTTTACTGTTTTCACACTAATAAATCCTAAATTTGTCCCCAGATTGCTTGTTTGTATTCTTTGGGTAAGGCTGACAGGATTGCCAACTGTCCTGTTTTAGTTTGGACGTCCCGTATAATAACAGTTTGATTTGTCCCATTTTCTGTCTTAAATGTCCCATGGGTTGACTTTTACCTGCAATGCACACAACACATGGCACTCTTACAAATTCCAAATTGGAAATCCCCGCAATCGTATCAGACGAGTGTTTGTGTCCATTCACAGCCGTCTAGTCATGCACACCAGATGTGAGGACTGATGCAAAAGTTTCTGTTTGTTCCGCACATAATCAGAAGACAAGCAGGCATGAATAAATGTGCTAAAAATACTTTGCAGCTACAAAAAACAACAAGAAGCAAAACATACCTGGGTTAGTATTTTGCCAGCATGGATCTACTGAAATGCACCAAAGAGCTACATAGGGCAGAGGTGCTAGCAGTATTGGTGCATTAGACAGACATTGACAAAAAGGCTGCAAGTGAAGGATTAAGTGAAGTCCACCAAAATGTCTACACATAGAGGAAGCAATAACAGCAAACTGTATGGTCAAGCCATTACTGATTGTAAAGAAAATGCTCTGAAACAACAAAAGATGAGATGACTACAGTGAACGTACTGGGACATTCCTGGAGTGGATTCCCTGACCTTTAAGAAGGCAGTGGTGAAACCGCAAGTTATGTTTAACTGTTTGAACTTCACACTGAAGACATAACAGCTGATAATGCTAATGTGAACTTTGAACAGCATCATTCTGACCACCAGTTATTTTAAAAAAAATCGTAATCATTACATTCTTAAAGCCAATTGTGCATTAGCATCCTAATGATCAGCTCTCAGTGGATATTGAGTTTGTTTTAAAAATCTAGAACATTGGCTTCAAGAATCAGGCCAAAAAATATCAAAAATAAAAAAATTTGGCAGCACATATCAGGGATCGATGTCAAAAATAATTGCCATTGGCTAGGGCTGGATACTATGGCTGAAAAAAGCATCACAATTTCTGTACTTTATATTTATTAGCTTTTTCTTTTAAATTTCTGAAATATGGCCAAACTGGTGACACGATTTTCCCTGTTTTACGCACAGTTTTCACCATGAGAAGTTGCATGTTTAAAGTCTTTCCTCTTTCTCCTACATCGCCCAGAACGCTGTGCGGTTCTGTATCAGAGTTCAGCGAATAGTCTGTAAAGCGTATTATCTACTGATAACGTATCAATGTATTGTGATATACATTGTAGATTTAAAGATTTATTGTCCCGCATTAGCATTGGTCTTAAAAAAATAAATCTGTTGGTTAATCTTTATCGGTGGATGGATAAACGTAGAACTAATACGTTTCTCTAATTTGATCAAATGAAGATGTTAGAAGTCAAGAAGCTGAGATTCTATCCATAATTATGACATAACCTTAAGCGCATTAGTCCACATTAGCTCCTTTGAAAATCTCATGATGTTTTTCCTATGATTTCTGATGCACTTAAGGTCAGACATGACATGGTGTCGCATAATCAGAACCCCCCAGACCTTCATTACTGTATCATTAATTACCAGTGAAGCACTTAGCATGTGAATCCCTATTGTCCCCTGCCCCTGCAGTGGCGTGTCAGGCTGATTTCACCCTCATGACTGATTGCACTGCCAGTAGATTTCACGATAGCTCCTGCTTTTCAAGAGCGAGTCAAATTCTAAGAACAAACAAAATGAGATGATTTTTTTTCTTTCTTTGCACAACACAGATGAACATGCAACATTTGACCCTGAAAAGAGTCCAGAGCCCAACAAAGACAGGAAGAGAAAAGTTTGAGCCCAAAGACAACTAGAACTATGAAGATATTTCAAAATGTATGTTGTTGAGAGGAAGACAAAGCATCAGGAGACAATCTATACAAGAAGACTTTTAAAACTCCCTTCAGAGGGAAGGGTAAGAACTCAGAGAGAAAACTCCTGGCTCTGAGGTTTTCTTTCTGTGTTGCATTTTTGATTGATTTTTGATTTTCTTTTTTTATTTGGTTACACTGTTGCTCAAGGTGACACAGCATGTATTTCTTTTATTTAATTTTTTGAAGTGGTTTTGATTTACGTTTGTTGCTCTGCATAAGAACTTTACTTTGCTATTGTGGTGTAAGAATTTTTTTTTTTTTTACTAAACCGGTAACACCGATATGATTTTGATTTATAGAAACCAAGTTAGCATACTACTAGTGACTAAATGCAGTAAGACTTACTGAAGGTCTCAGGGGTTTTGATGGACTCAGCTGTTCCCACTCCCAACTTGGAGAAAGACATTTCAGATAGTAGCTTGCAGATGTTGAACATTTTCATTAAGATGCAGTGCTGCCAGGTAAAACCTGATTAAATAAAGTAGAAGAGAATTGTATTTGTAAGTTCAAAGTGGCACACAAAACTAATCTAATAAAACACAAACAATTTTAAAATGGGAAAAGCAATATCATAAATAGAAGTTGACACTACACAGCTATTTACCTGCACAGCATTCCCAAACGGCGGTCTCCATACTGGTGTCATTTCTTCCTCCATATCAGACAACAGTTGTTGAAGTGTTGGTTCCAACATCACAACACTTTGGTGTCACCTTTGTGCCTTTGAATAAGCAAATATTAACACTAGCAACACTGACAAATTACATGGCAAAGTGTAGTCTGTCGGGAAAAAAATTACACAAACTACATGTCAAGTACGTTTTAAAATATAAATGTCATCACAATATGAATGAACACTCGTAGCAAACAAGGCCTCAATCTAGTCAAGAACATCACTGAACAAAACTACACCAATCAATTAATGTAATAAATACTTAAACATTCAGGTGTTCTGTCCCTTAGGAGCTAAAAACTAACAGAAGGCACAATCTACTGCTATCAAAACAACAGCCAGGACATCATGTCAACACACAAAATTCATGTCTAAAATAAGATTTTTCATTTTAGCATCATTTCCAGCCTACCGCTTTCCTGTGTCTTGCCGTTTCCATAGAGAAGAAACTGACCCCTAAAATCAGACAGTCTTTTGGCAAATCTGTCTTGATAATGGCAGGGGTTGCTGAAGCACTTGTACTTGATGTGCTTTGCACAGTCTTCTTTTTAAAACTGTACAGTATACACATTAAATCAAGCAAATTTATTGAAATTCAGTAGACTGATTTTAAGAATTTTATGAAATATTTTATTCTCTGCACATTCCACTATATTGGAAGAAAATAAAAAGTCTCTCTTTTAATAAACAGAATTGCTGGGTATTTTGTCACATAAATGAAAATATTTTTGTGTTTACATTTCTTCATTTGAACAGATGTAAAATGTGTTTTACATCTGTTGTTGACAAAAAAGATCATTTTAATCAAAGTGTCTCCTGACTGTGCTCCGAATTATTAACATTTCCACTTTTTAGCAGTTTTTGAAGTGTAGAGGAGTAATAATGAGCTCAAACTGTATCTACTTTCACCTGTTTAGTAGGGGAGGGGATGTCGCAGGTTTGTCCCGGTGCTGTGGTAGCCGCCTTGCTCACCTCGGTGGGCTTGCTAGGCGTTTGCTCAGATTTGAAGAGGAGTTTTTCACTGTAAATACGTTTTATTGTGAACCAGAGCGTACAGCGGAAGCTACTGTCACAATAACAATACATCACATCGGTAATTCCAAGCATTAAACCTAGCATGGCCCTGAACTCTCCCTTACTGCTTGTCAAACACCCATTCACGTCGCGCGCTCACGACTTCTTCTGGTGTTTTTTTATTTATTTTGTTTTCCCACTCGTCAAGGTGTGAATCACCGCCACCTAGTGGTACGTAGTGTTGTTCATGACGTCTTCTTTTTTCTGGCAGTTGGCAAGCAACGTTAAGATGTGCACTACCGCCATTTACTGGGATGGAGTGTTGATTGGGCTGCTAAACATATTAATCACAGATTGTAAAACTAAAATGAACAACAACAACTGTTAATTTCGGTTGTTCGACTTATATATATATATATATATATATAT